AAGTTGTCCAAAATTCGCCTACGAAAATCGTAGCCGTACTACGCGGCTACGAATTTCGTAGCCAACGCTACGAAAGTACAAAAGCAGACTGCTAGTAAACAACGTATCGTATATTATTGCAGATAAGGCCTATAATAGTCCAGTAGCTTCTACTAAAAATTAAGAGGCCAGAAGACGGTAATGTAGTGTAGCGCAGTAAGCAGGAAATAAGATAAGGAAGGAATTAACTTCAGGTATAATACGGGCGCGCAGGGTGAAAGAAAATAAAACATAAAAATTTAGACATGGAACAAAATTAAGACTACGAGAATAATTTTACATAAAAATTAGCATAATGTAACATCACGCTTATTTTACTGCGAGAGTTTGCATAGGTGGATAATTAAAATTGAAAATAAGAGAGAATAGGTAATTTGGTAGCTATTTTTATTAAAATGCCATAATAGAGGTATAATTACATTTTCATGCTTCGGCACGAATGAGCCAGTGAACCTTGACGTGAAACAACACTTTCGTTCTGTTTCATCACCTGAGTGAGGTTACCGAAGGTCCAGTTACCCCCTCCCCCAATTCCCAAAACCCAAATCTTCCCAATCCCTGAATCCCCAATTTCTCTAATTCCCTGTATTCTTAATAACCTTCAATTTTCAAATTTCCAAAAGGCCGGTAACTCACTTGTAACACATCTGGTGTTTCGAGTGTCCATTGGTGGCGCCGATTGCTTATCATCAGTTGATCCGTCTGCTCATCTCTCATTTTCTTGCATGCATAAGGAATGCGGACGCTCGACGGGTTAAAGGCGTATTCTATAAAAAAGGGATTTCAGTGATCGTATTTTCATATATTTAAAACTTAGTATAATTGCAAAGTTGAATAATAATATTTCTGTTAACCAGATTATATTATTATCATTAGAAGAACCTTACATTACGTTGTTTAGACAGAATTAGCTCTAACACTACAAGTACTTGCAATCTTGAAACACATGAGTACTCGAAGTACCTTCCACACTTAACTGGTTACTGTAGCTTCAGGAGTGCCACTTTAGCTCTAGTGTTTTTGTAAGTTGATTTAGAACAGACGACCGACTTTTTGACTAGGAAAACATAGTAAAGTTTTATAAAACACTAAAGGGTTAAGTTGAGGGTAAATGTTAAAGGCCAATCACCCACATTTATAGATTTATGACATTAATACAAGTACTAATATCGTTGGAGTATCGTCAGTTTGCACAAAAGCTAAACATATTATACACATAAACCTTCTCCAAAGATCACTCTACCTGTTATTGAGAACTGTTTGACAATCAGACTTGTACTATTTGAGTTTTTGAGTTTCACGAAAAGACAGAAAGACAGACGCGCACGGAAGGGCGGGGGGCTTAGAGATTAGCTTCTGCCAACGGCTTCGCTCACGTTCAATTGTGATAAAAAGTAGCCTTTCTTTTAATCCAGCCTTGTTTTAATATAAATATGTAATAAACAAACAAACAAACATACAAATTTTAATTTTATAACTTTAGAACCAATCCACACTTTACTAAGTACTAAGTATCGAATACTCGCAGTTTGTACTCGAGTTTGATATTCTCAATATTTAATTCTTGGTCTTAAAAGTGAATGGGTCCAAATATCGCTCAATATTAGATAGTGGGTTAAAAAAATAATGTACAAAAATAATAGGTACATTCCGAATACAATATTCAATACATTCTTCATGTATATCATATTCAGAATTGATATTTTACATACACACTGTAGCTTCAACGTGCAAAGCTCGACATGTAACAAATTTCGATTTTTGTGAGAATATAATCTGAAATTGTATGGAGAGAAGGAATTCAAAATGTTTTATGTATTTTTATTGTATTAACTGCAGTATATACATCTATATATACATATACTGGTTAATGCTTCAGCGAGCTTCCATGTATTTAATAAATACTATATTATGACGGCTCGATTGATGTGGTGGCTGGGCAACTAGCTGCCGTGTGTCGCCAACGTGTTGCGGGTTCGATTACCGCACTTAGCAATTATTTCTGTGATCCACAAATTGTAGTTCCCTTGTCTGGATATCATGTGTATGTGAACTTGTATGTTTGTAAACGCACCCATGACATAGGAATATATTCAAGAGTGGGACAACGTTTAAAAAAAATTACATAGTAAAACCGTAAAGGATCCTCTATAATAATTAAGTTTATAACATAAAAGTAAATTACAAAAATTAAACGAAAAGTAATATTCTTAATTTCAATAAAAACAAACCTTAAGCTATGTTAATTACAGCGCATTTTCAATGTTCCACTTTAATAAAATTATCCAAATTCAGAACGTATTTTTAAAATTTATTTCGTTTTTTCCTTTCTCAAACCTTCTGGTAATGTATGTATACCTTTTATCGAATTAAATATGTATTATGTAAATGGAAACGACACAGGGAAAACCCTTGGAATATATAATCAATCAATCAAGCCATTGTTGTATGAGCATATATTATGTAAATTTATGCTTTTTGAAGAAACAGCTGTCTCTGTTTGTTAAGTAATCAATTAGAAGCTCAGTAAGACGACGTCGATTATTATCCTATCAAACTATTTACTGTAATTGTGAATTCGAAAACAAAGAATAGAAGGGTCAATGACTCATGTTTAGTAGTGTAATCTTCATAATTATTTCTGATAAAGTTATTTTAATTTTCCGATGGTCATGTTTTTAATTAACTTATTAAATACAAAAATGTAAAATCTTAGTAATATTACAGATGCAAAAGTTTGTTAGTTTGTGTCTCTCTGTATGTCTTTTACTCAATCATGTCAAAACGAAAATGAAGACGAAATTGGTAACATGGATATTCTTAGTCTAGAGTACACTGTAATCTTTTGTCAAACAACACAAGCAATTTCCAAATTCTTAGTATTCCTTGGCGATTATATAATTGGAGAACATGAGCACCATTTCACTGAGCCTAATATTTAATAGCTTAATATTATTAGTGGAAGTCTTGAAGTGATGAAGTCTTCTTCATCTTGGCACTAAACCAACTCGTCAGCCTAATCTTTCGGGAAAAGCTCCGACCAGCTATTATGTTATGCTAAAATACCATAAAACAATCTTTATAGGTACATAAAACTTGGAAGAATGAAGTAAGTAAAATGGATGACTATCATATGGTGTTTGTAAGCGCTGCGGCGGTCTGCAATATTTCACGTTTAGACTTGGTGCTTAGATTTTGGTGAGAAGCCCGCGGTTTACTTAACCGTTTGTGGGTAACACCATCTTTTGATATTTACGTTCGGTGTGTATCTATAGATTTGTTGAGAATTCCGATGTGCTAAATGGAAAACCAAGTGATTGTATTTGTTTTTAAGTAAGGTTTAATTAAAATTTTATTCGATTAGTTAAATTATTTGTGTTATCGTCAAGTATGGTACAAATCCGCGGGAATAGAATTATTACAAATGTAGCCAATTCAAGTTTTCGCGGAAAAATCCCGCAAAATTTTAATTGGCTGCCATTGCCTTGCCATGATTTCATTTTGACTCGTTTTTAATGTAACAATGAGGTTCAAATACATTGAGTTAATATTTTTATTAAGTTTTAACCTGTGCCTGTAAAACTAGATCTGTTGTTAATACGCGGTTTTTATATGTAGATATATGGTAGACTCATGTATGAAAAGATTGATGACTGTTGATGAAGCGAAAGAGGTAGATATGTAGGAATCGTAGCAATTGGCGTTCCATTTCTCTGCCTGGCCATGGGAGACAGGCGTGAAGTTCTGTATATATGTATGTATGGTAGATTTGCAGATATGCACTATCCTCGACGTTATGGTATTTAACGAAGCTTCGTCAACCGGGTGTATAAACATTAAATATACACGAGTGAAAAAAAATGTTTAATTGATCAGTATTTAGTGTTCCATCAAATTCGCTTATAATTATTTAAAGAATACTCAATACAATTTAAATATAAATAAAATGTGCTTATAGTTTAAATTGAATTTCACTCTATAAAGACTTAAAAATTAAGCATATTAATAAATTAACAAAGATCTGCGCTGTTCCCAAACCGGAGACCATCGGTACCCAGTTGTTTGATGGTTAAACGAAAGTTTAGTAGAATTTGCATGTTGTCGCCTAACATTGTTATCGTTGTGAGAACAACAGATTGGGCTTATAAAATCCTGCCTCCTTGTTATTTTCACGGCAGGGTAACCGGTTGAATTCCATTAATGTCTGCTAACGACCGGACGCACTTCGGATTGGGGTTTAAAAGGGTTGAGTGGTTTTCTACAATCGTTCTGATAAAAGGGGATGGATGTTAAGCTTTTAGCGATTTTAAGATGTCCCATCGGGTATATTAATACCGATTTGCCGATTTACGTTAGTCAATGAACTAATCGATGGATTAATGATGTTGTTTGCAAGTTTTGTCTTGCGACATAAGATTTTTTCCATTATACACCTGCAAAATATATACAGATGCCTAAATATTTTAAATTTTATAGTAAGGGCTTTAAAATACCATTAACTATTTCGATGTTTTCTTAAAATACAAAATTTATTTTCATAAAAATGGTGTTTCAAAATTTCATAGATACTCTTCAGTAATATTTAACAAAACCTAATTTGAATTTATGCTCATAAACGCCGTTTATTTTGTTTTTTAATAAGAATTCTTTCTACGTAAACAACATTTCGTTAAATTTATATGAAAGCATAAATACAAATAGGCCCCAATCCAGTTTATTCCCTTTCAGTTTACCGTTTGTTTTGATTTCGCAAATTCAACGGCCCATTCGGATCCCGCGAGGAACATTCTAAACAAAACTAAAAACTAACTTATGAATATTCTCTCCTGTAGTATTAGTGTATAAGCTTGGCGGGTGTCAATCGTAGTGGAGCATGCGCAGTGGCGCGTTTAGCGCGGGCTTGCGTGCGGTCCTCAGTAATTGGCCGCACGCCGTCCAGTTTAAACCGGTACCAACTGGTTTTTGCTCCCTATTTTGGCATTTCGCGCGCGCGTGACGAACTGTCAACGATACGTTAAAAAGTGTAATACACCCTGTATATAAATTATGACTAAGTACGGAATAAAATATTTAATTTTAGTGAGTGTTTCATAAACTTTGAAGTTTGTTTCTAAATAGTTTTAACTTAATAATGTTGTATATAAGAGTTGCTTTAAATTTAAAAACTTTGTAAATAGTAAAGTGTATAATGTAAGTGATTTATTTCTATATGGATTTAAAAACTAGCGGTGAGTTGGATATTGAATTTATATTTTTATTTATTAACAATAATTTTATAATAACAATCAATTCCTTCTTTACGATAACGTTTTTAAATAAAATGATGAAATGATGTCAATTTTGGCATTAATTTTTTTTTAATAATAGTTTTCGAAAATGAAATTATACATTTTTGTCATATTGAAATAAAAAATCTAACTCAGTTGCTATGCTAAAAATAAAAGTCACTTACGAGCAAGACAAAAAACAATTCGAAAATAATATAAATACAACAACATCAAATCAATATTAAAGACGAAAAATCAGCAACCATTTTTTCACGACCACAAAATACAAAAAATACATTTTCAGAATTAATACAGTATATACCTAATACAAAATGTCTACTGTATTTAATACCTGTGTATTTGCTGGAACGAAACACACATAGATGGGTATTCCCAACTTTAATTCTCCTGACCAATATTTGACATCCGTGGTGAAGGGTTCTCATATTTGAAAAGGATCTCGCTGACGTTTGAAGAATTATATTATTTGCATGATGTAATATGTGGGATGAAACCTTCAATGTAAATAAAAATAATTTTCAGCTACCGTCTGCTTTAGGTATCAGGGTCTTACGGTGTATTATTCGTTAGCTTAAATAACAGATACGAGTGACTTGTGTTGAGATATAACAAAATATTAGGTAAAATACAATACAATATTTTAGGTTTAATGATTATTTATTTTTACTCATAAAGGTCATGGTTGATTTATAATTATTAAGCTTAAATTAATAATTTTGTATTGACCATTAAATTTTATGCTCTACAATTAAAGGTATTTAAAATTTTAAACGTAAATATGTCAAAAACGTTCACATTTTTCTATCATGTATTGAATATAATTTTAGTGATGTGCTTTTCTAAACGCCATAACTTTTAGCTTATGATGTTGTATGTTTGTATGGTTTAGCACTGATGGACCGTAAGCCTCTTCTACATAATACTCGTCTTATGATAGCGTCCGGTGATAGCGGTGAATGCTCGCATTTACCGCTATCACCATAATAATAGAATTGGAAACTTACCAGTATCAGATCATAGAAAATTATTTTACTACATATAAATCATTTCTAAGTTTACCGTGAACTAATGATACAGAGTGTAAATAAATTATGAAAAGAACATTTTATTTTACACAGCAATATAAGAAAACATCAAAATATGAATAATAACTTTTTTTTATTCGACAAGGATCTTTAATCAAACGCGTTGCGTTTTATAGTAATTTGTTTTTAACCAACTTCAAAGAAAGAAGGAGGTTCTTGGTTATATCAGCATATATATGTCTGTGCGCGATTATCTCGTAATTGGCTGAACAAAATTTGATGCCGTTTTCAGAAAAATACATGTTATACTTTGGTGAAGATTTTAGTATAGTAATTAAATGATTTTAAATAAAGAGGGGTTTGAAATCGGTTTCTTTAAACGTAGTTTATACAAGAATATTACTAGAATATCTATTAAAATACCTATGTATTGATATTTTTATAGGAAATAAGTACCTGTACGATTACAATAGTAGTAAAATATAATTTGTCCTATTCCAAACGAGCAAAATACTTAGTTACAAACTTTTAATCACGTAATACACATTCATGCTCGCGCCTCGTCAACTTACTAATTTACAAATGTGTAAACATTAAGATTGTATGCGAGTGCGAGCACGAGGCAAGGCGAGGCGAACGTGAGGCGAACGCGAGGCAAACGCAGAGCGTACCAATCGCATATTTGCCTCGCTACCACAACTCTGTATTTAGGAAACAATATAGAATTAAGTTTATTTTCTAGAGGTATGATTTCGTTCAAAGAACTAGAGAATAACATTTTATGTTTATCGTGTGACAGACTAAAATACATTTCTTACCCCTCCTTTTACATAGGAGCCGAATTAAAGTGGTTATGCTGTCTAGCACCCTCTCTGGTAAACATGAATCTTTTGAAATGCGTGTAAATTTTGGCAAGCCTGGACATGGCTTTGTTATCCAGCTGTTCATCACGATGGTATTTTTGTCATTATCACAGGTTTCAGCCTAACGATACCTAATAAAAGATCAGTTCTAATTTTCAAAAAACAAACCTACTTTGTTAACTAAGTGGTTGTTAGCATACTTTAAAGGCTTTGATCCGATTAACAAGTGAGGTACAAGTAGCTCAATATAATAACGAGCTTTTTAATTCCAAGAATTCTTGGGTTTCGCATGTTGTCTAAAATTTAGCTTGAAGTACTACCAAGAAACTAACAACGTCTATAATTATGATAAGTGGAAGGCTCTTTAGGCGATATTATCTCATGGCGTACAAAGCAAATGAAGTTTAACAAATGTACAACTTGGAGTTCTTGAATCAGCATTGAACTTCTTTGGAACTGAATTCCTGAACCTGACAGAGAGCAGCTCAGACAGCCGTGCCATTTAAATTGAAGATCAAAATGAAATTCTCTGAATACAAGTGAAATTTGTAGGAATTCCTTTTCATTTCAACCATTATGTCCGGGTTAGTGCAACCTCGAGGTAATGCAGGCATTTTTGAAATAATAAAATGCCGAGCAAGGTATAGTAGCAAACTTAGGTAACATAATTTATGCAATCCTTTCCTAAGTAGTTCGTAAGTTAAATTTAGAACATCGATCGCCTCCGTTCTAAGCGTATGCACATTATTTACCCAGTGCATAGTAAACTAGGTCATAATATTATATCCAGCCTGTACTTTTTTCTAACACATGGCCAAGGTTTCTTTTGTTGAAATGACCACTATACCAAAATAAGAAATAAAATATAATATTACTATGACTAAGATTGATGAATTTAGAAGGTGATGAAGAAGAAGTAAAAGAATTCATAAATGACAAATTGTAATTGTAATTAATATTTTCTTATGACTAATTTAAACAATGTAATTAATAAATAATAAATTATAATTGTAATTAATATTTTGTTATGACTAATGCAAATAAGTAATAAATAGTAATTGTACCTAATTGTAATTCACAAAAAGTATTGCATGCTAATTAGCAGAATGTAGCTGATCAAATTATTTAATAATAACTACTGTAACATCTACACTAACTTGACCTATATTCGCAATAAATGATTTGAATTTGAATTTGAAAATGCATTTGGTTTTCTTTCTTGGTTATCTTTATTCTTCTCTTAGCGTGAAATTACTGAGGGTATCTAACAACTTCTGTGTCACTTCATAGTCTAGTATTCAAGCTTCATTCATAATTAGAGCAAAAAGACTTGCTAGCTCTGTACTGAACAGTTTTTCATACTTTTGTTTAACGTACACAAGTCATAAGCTCCTTCTGTTATATTTCATTCAAACGCTTCATAGAACATTCGGTTCTTCGTTTCACAATTTGAACTAAGAAATATAAGAGCCGTAACATCGTATTTGCGAATTTATTTCTCCCGTTCCGTGAAATACCGGTAGAGAGGGACTAGGCTAATATTATTTCAGATATGATATTTAACGTTCCCCAAAAAGAGTATTTGCAGAAGGGGATTGTTAAACATTTTATTATTATTTTAATGTTTCCATTACATTCGTCAAAATATAGAAGTATTTTTTATATATATATATATATATTTATCGTAGATAACGATTTTTAATCAGTTTTGTTAGCAATAAACAAAACTAGCTGAGATTTAATAAAACATTACAGTATAATTATGAGTTTAATTATATATAGTATACAACTTATTCAACTACATATATACAAGTCAGTAGATTTTATTACGACATCACCAATCATATCAATATATAACACCGCTGAATATAAAGTTATGTATAATTTACAGATTATTCTCCCAATCAAACAGTATTGGAATGAACTTAAGCCTAGCCTACTTAAAATAACCAACGGGTAATGAGTTCACCACAAAATTGCATTTAATTAACATTGTTCTGTTCTCTTAATAAATTTAATTTGCACGTTGATTGGAAAAGGTATAAAAGAAGAATCTTATTTTCTTTGGCCAGCGTCCTATTGGAAACTGGAGCTCATATTACTAGAGGATAATCTATCCTATCTTTTCTATCGATCTTTTTACTTTCTTGAACGCCATTATTTTAAATCGGATTGATAGTTTTAGAGCATATTAATTATTTTAGAGGTTGAGGTAGTTTAAAATTAAGTTTTAAGTGTGGAAGAGCCATGCTTTGGCACGAATGACTATTTGGGCCGGCCGACTATTTTATGTGTGAGTGAGGTTACTGGAGGCACAATTACCCCCTTCCCTAGTCTTCCGAATCCCCGAAACCTCCACAATCCTCAAATTCCGTTACTTCACTTGTAACGCCTTGGTGTTTCGTGTGTCCATGGGCGGCGCCGATTGCTTACTATTAGGTGATCCGTATGCTCGTTTACCAGCATAAGCTATAAAAAAAATACTTTTGCTTGTGATACAGGGCTTTCCTAGTACAGGCATCTAGCTGTATAAGGTCTACACCGCTTATTAAGATAATATGTTGTATTCTGCTCATTTTATCATCAATATAGATTATTATATTATACTCTTTGAACTGATGTGTCCTCTCAATTAGGTACATGGTTTGATACAAACAGTTTATTGCGGTTTTAATATCTTACTGACATAGTATATGGGATTCGTATCATAACTGGCGAATAGTGAATGTTGTATCTACGATAAAAAAGTGTGCCGGGCAAGGGGTTTTCGGGTTCGATTCCCGGGTCAGGCAAAGTAGTACTGGGCTTAAAAAAATTCTCAGTAGCACGGAGTCAAGAATTGTGCTCAGTATATGGCAATAGGCTCACCCCCGTATATCGGCTCCCTATTACATGGGACTAATAACATATTTTTTTTTGTTATTTTTCTATATCTATATAAATATGTGTATTTATTTGTCCTTTTCTTTTTAATTTTGTATTTTTTTGTGTCTGTGTGCGTGCCTACTGTCGAATGAATGCTTTTTCTTTCTTTCTAAATAGTGAAAAGTGG